TATCTGTTGGACGTGGTGCTACCCGGTGTGGCGGTCAAGTTGTCGTTCATCAAACTAGAAGACAGGCTGCCCCTCAACCCGAAGTTGGGAGCATGGGTCAACCCCAAGATGCTATGCCAGATCAAGTGCAAGGGCAGGGAGTTCAGGATGCTCCACCACCAGTGCCAACTATTGCGCCTATTGTTGCCTTACCTGCAGACGTAGTGGAAAGGTTATTGAATGTGTTAGAGGCATTGGTGCCTACTCAGGGTGGAAGTTCAGCTCCTCAAGCTACTTTACAAACACAAACACCTGCATAGACTCAGATTTTCGGGAATAAGGAAGTATCCCTACAAGAGTTCCTGAAATTGAAATCACCAAAATTCGCAGGTTCTGATAATTCAGCAGATCCTCAGAGTTTCTTGGATGGGACACTCAAGGCATTACGTGCTCTAGGATGTTCTAGTGAGAGAGTCGTAGAGCTTGCAGCATACAAACTAGAGGATATGGCCAACACATGGTATGAAACTGTATTGCTAGGAAGGCTAGCAGGACGAATTCACTAAATTGTTCATAAATCATTTTCTTCCAAACAGCCTGATGCAAAAATATACTAGAGACTTTGAGAGATTGGTTCAGACTCCATATATGGATGTGTCAACATATAAGACCAAATTTTGTAAGTTGGATAGATATGCCCCTTACTTAGTGCCTACCGAAGAATCTCGAGTTCAGAGGTTTGTTGATGGATTGGTTGGTCGTCTATACACTGTAGTAGCCCAACAGATGAAGACTTTATACTACTCTGGTGCAGTCGACCTTGCTAGAAAGATTGAAACCAAGCGACGTGAGGAGCGTGCAGCTAGTGATTTACGTATGAAGGCCAAGACAAGAGGGTCTTTCAGTGGCGGTTTTAGTGAAAATCGAAGAGCAGGAAATCAAGGACAATAACAACAGGGTTCTCAGACAGGGATAAACTTGTCTTCATAGTAGGGTTGCTTAACGGGCGGATCGGACGGTTATTTACTATTAACGATTTGGCTTATCGATTATCGGTTTTTAAATGTATTAATCTGCTAGCCACCCAATAAGATATCAGGAGGATTGGTATCAGTTTAGCTATTATCGGGCGGTTATCGGTTTAGTTTCAGTTGATTGAAATGATGACATTCTTCAATGCCTTATAATGATGACAAATATTATAAATGCCTTTTTTGTAACAGATGAATTGTGTTTTCAACTATGATGCTTAGCTTTTGGCAATGGTTGATATTAGCAGTATTAACCTGCGAGCTGTCACTGCTGGTTGTGGTTGAAGCTATTGTTGCTCTGTAAATTTCGTTGTAACTGGCTTGTGTCCTTTCTACTGCTATTCTTTCGGATTTTGCTAAGAAATGTTAACATGAAACTAGTTAGAAATTACAGTGTCTCCTGGTTTTGCTTTGGCTATATAGTAAATTATTTAAAGTTAAAGTTTTGTAACGAAATATGAATGATTCTGGAAGATGGTAATCTTTCTGGAAAAAATATATATATTGTCCAGAGCAGTAATATATATATATATATATATATATATATTCTTAACGGGTTAACGGATTATCTGTTAAGAAAATTGAATAATCCACTCTCAAACCGATAAGCCGTTAATAAAAAAAATTCAATTCGTTCTCCGTCCGTTAAACCGTTAACCCGATACCAATAAGCCATTAAGCTTCAGTTTCGGTTCAGTTTTGAACACCCCTACTTCACAGTCCACATACATACCACATTACAGACAGGGTAATAGGGGACCATCATCTTCTGAACATCATAATTCCGGGCAGATATATGCCACTACTCCGGTCTGCCAGACCTGTGGTAGATCACATTTGGGACAATGTCGTGTTCTAACTGGAGAGTGCTTTCGGTGTGTCCAGTTGGGACATCACTTGAGGGATTGCCCTCAGCCTCCGAGAAATTTCAACCAGGCTTCTATTCAGTCAGCTGCACCTACTCAGACTACTCGTAATACTTTAGGTGCTACAGTTACAGGAAATAAAGGTTGAGGTGCCGGAGATCGTGTTACTGTGAATCAAGGACAAGGTAATGTTGGTAGAGGTCAGGCGAGAGTTTTTGCATTTACTAGACAGGATGCTCAGGCCTCGAATGCTGTGGTTACAGGTGTTCTTTCTGTCTGTTCATTTGATGCACTTGCGTTGATTGATCCGGGATCTACTCACTCCTATGTGTCCCTGTACTTTGCTTTGAAGTTTAGTAGACATCCTGAGCTATTGAATGAACCTTTTCTAGTTGCTACTCCTGTTGGAGAGTCTCTATTAGCTGAATACGTGTATCGTGCTTGTCAGATTCAGATTGAGGGTAGAGATACTCTAGCTGACCTTATTGTACTTGATATGATTGACTTTGAAATGCTGATAGGAATGGATTGATTATCTTCATGCTATGCTATCATCTATTATCATTCAAAGATAGTCAAGTTTGAGATACCAAACGAACCCAGTTTTGTTCTAAAAGGGGGTCAGGTTCTAGAGAATTGCAAATTTGTATCTTTTATGAAGGCTCAACGACTGCTGAAGAAAGGTTGCTTGGGTCTCATAGCTATTGTAAATGACACAAGAAAGGAAACAGTTAGTATAGAAAATGTACCAGTAGTGAGAGAATTTTCTGATATATTTCCTGAGGAATTACCAAGATTGCCTCCAGTACGAGAAATAGATTTTGGTATTGATTTGCCACCTCACACACAACCCATATCAATACCGCCATATCGGATGGCACTAGCAGAGTTGAAGAAGCTAAAACAACAACTGCAGGATTTGTTAGATAAGGGTTTTATCAGACCGAGTATATCTCCATAGGGTGCACCAGTATTGTTCGTAAAGAAGAAAGACGGATCCCTAAGAATGTGCATTGACTACAAGCAGTTGAACAAGATAACAATACGCAATAAATATCCCTTGCCTCGTATAGATGACATGTTTGATCAGTTACAAAAAGCTTCCCACTTTTCAAATATTGACCTCTGTTCTGGTTATCATCAACTTAGAATCAAAGATGAATATATTTTTAAGACTGCTTTCAGAACTCGCTGCGGGCACTATGAGTTTCTTGTGATGCCTTTCGGACTGACTAATGCTCCAGCTGCATTCATGGGTTTAATGAATAGGGTGTTCAAGCCGTTTCTGGATAGATTTGTAATAGTATTTATTGATGATATCCTGGTATATTCTCATAGCCAAGGAGAACGCGGGAATCATCTTAGGACTGTGTTACAGACATTGCGAGAACATCGGCTTTATGCTAAGTTCTCAAAGTGTGAATTTTAGCTAGACTCAGTAGCATTTTTGGGGCATGTTGTATCCAAAGATGGAATTATGGTAGATCCTAAGAAGACAGAAGTTGTGCAGAAATGGCCCAGACCTACTTCTCCTACAGAGATTCGTAGCTTTTTAGGTTTGGCAGGCTATTACAGGCGTTTTGTGTAGGATTTCTCCAGAATAGTAGCGCCGCTGACCAAGCTAACATAGAAAAATGTAAAGTTTCAGTGGACGGAGGAATGTGAGCAGAGTTTTCAAAAACTCAAAACTTGTTTGACAACTGCACGAATATTAGCCTTACCATCGGGTTCTGGAGGATTTATAGTATTCTGTGATGCCTCGAGGGTGGGATTAGGATGCGTTCTCATGCAAAATGATCGCATTATAGCTTATGCTTTGAGACAATTGAAAAAGCACGAGCAAAACTATCCTACACATGATTTGGAGATGGCTGCAGTGGTATTTGCTCTAAAAATTTGGAGGCATTACCTAAATGGCGAAACTTGTGAGATTTATATTGACCAAAAAAGTCTGAAGTATATCTTTCAGCAGAGAGATCTGAATCTTCGGCAGCATCGGTGGATGGAACTACTCAAAGACTATGATTGTTCTATTTTGTATCATCCTGGAAAAGCAAATGGGATGGCTGATGCATTGAGTAGAAAATCTATGAGGAGTTTGGCACATATAGCTCCTGCAAAGAGACTTTTGGCCAAAGATATTTAGAGACTAGAAGATATAGGTATCAGATTTAGTGTCGGAAATTCATAGGCATTGTTGGCTTGTGCTCAAGCTAAGTCTTCATTAGTTGAGCGCATTAAGGCCACCCAATATGAGGATGAGCGATTATGCAAATACAGAGATAAGGCCTTAGCTGGTAAAAGCAAGGGTATGATTGTTGAAAGTGATGGTGTGCTTCGAATGGGTGACATGCTATGTGTAGCAGACGTAGATGGGTTGAGACATACTATTCTTGAAGAATCCCACAACTCTAAATACACTATATATCATGGATCCACAAAAATGTATCATGACCTAAAGCAATTCTATTTGTGGGAAGGTATAAAGAGAGATGTTGCTAGTTGTTTGACTTGTCAGCAGGTCAAGGCTGAGCATCAGCTACCCGCAGGACTGTTACAACAAATTGAGATTCCAGAGTGAAAATGCGAAAGAATTACTATGGATTTTGTCACTGGGCTACCACGAACCCTTAGAGGTTATGACTCTTTATGGGTAATTTTAGATTGACTGACGAAATCAGCACACTTGTTTCCACTGAAGACTACATATAGTGGAGTAAGATATGCACAAATATTTATGAATGAAATTGTCCGACTTCACGGAGTTCCAATATCCATCATCTCTGATAGAGGATCACAAAATACCTCACGCTTTTGGAAATATTTTCAAGAAGCATTGGGTACACGAGTAGATCTTAGTACTGCATTTCATCCACAGACAGAAGGGCAGTCTGAACGTACTATACAGATCTTGGAGGATATGTTGAGAGCTTACATTCTTGAGTTTGGAGGTAGTTGGGACGCTTATCTACCTTTAGATGAATTTGCTTACAACAATAACTTCCAGTCCAATATTCAAATGGCACCGTACGAAGCATTGTATGGTAGAAGATGTCGTTCTCCTATCGGATGATTTGAAGCTGGTGAGACTAACATATTGGGACCTGACCTAGTACAAGAAGCTATGGACAAGGTCCAGTTGATCAGACATAGATTGCTTGTAGCTCAAAGTAGACAAAAGTCTTATGCTGATAAGAGAAGAAGAGATTTAGCATTCACAATTGGGGACAAAGTGTTACTACGAGTCTTCCCTATGAAAGGTATGATGCGGTTTGGGAAAAGAAGCAAATTGAGCCCCAGGTTTATAGGATCGTATGAGATACTAGACCGAGTGGGAGCTGTGGCTTATCGTTTGGCACTTCCTTCTGAGTTGTCTTTTATTCATCTAGTGTTTCACGTCTCAATGCTAAGAAAATATATATCGGACTCATCTCAGGTGCTTGAAGTACCTATTATACCGATTGATGAGAAGTTGTCTTACAAGGAGGAGCCGATGGCTATTGTTGATAGGCAAGTAAGAAAGCTACGGTCAAAGAAAATTGAGTTCGTAAAAGTCTTATGGCGAAATCATACAGTTGAAGAAGCTACTTGGGAAATAGAAGATGCTATGCGATCCAAGTACCCCCCATTTGTTTCACTGTATAGGTATGTACTTAAGTTAAATTCGAGGACCGAATTTCATAAGGTGGGAAGGATGTAATACGTTATTTTTTTATAAGGGTGTATTGGTCATAATAATAATAATAAGAAACTAACTATAAAAAAAACAAAACAAATCAAAAAAAAAAAAAGAGTAAAGCTAAAGGGTCGAAGCCCATTTTCCAAAAGAAAAGAAAGGGAAAAAGGGGGGTTGGCTGCTACGCCGAAGCAAAAGCTTCAGAAACGCCGGAAAAAAAAATTCAAAAGAAGAAGAAGAAAAAGGTTGGAACCAAACCTTGAAATTTTTTAAATACGCACTGGTTCTTACGGGTAATACTCGAATTTCTCATCTTGGTTCTTTTCTTCTGGTAATTCTTTTGTCTCGGTTTATATATTTAAAGGGTTTCACTCGGTATAAGAAATTTAATACCAATAAGAGTTATTCTTGGCAAATTATGCAATTGGAAGTTGGTCAAAGTTACCGTAGGATAAATTCACTTGGAAAAAGATGGGTATTGATGTATTTGTGCTTAAACTAGTCTCATTATATATGACCTTTGTTAGGTGTAAATTAAGTTAGGGTACAAAGATTGAGTTTTGGTGTTTAACTGTATTGAAATGACAATATCGAATTGGGTTTGAATGTGATAAGTCTAGTATTGAGCACAAAAGATAAGTACCAATTAAGAAGGAATATTATGGACAATAATATTATTTCAGTTTCAATTTATGCACATGATTAAGGAAATTTGAACAGTACGGGGAATAAACCATATAAATACCTTTTTATTTAAAAGATTTTGGACTAATTTAAAATACTCATAGCATGAGTAAATATAATTCGGTGAATTGATGATAAAATATAAAACTCGGAGTATTGGGTATTCTAAATTAGTGATGGATTTAGCCTAAATGAGGCAATTAACACGAGATCGGTATTATGTAATTATAGATTGATTGGAGGAATTTGTACGAATTGCTCGAGGTGAAGCATTTGATATTTCGACACGAGTATTGTGAGTAGTAATCTTACCGCAATTTGTGTTTTCATAACTTGCATGATTTACACATGATTTTTAATATGAATATGTTACCGATTATTTTGAGTTGCATGTGGGACAAGTCTTTTACTCGATATGATACCGAAATAGTTATTTGAGATGATTACCGTTGTTTAAAATATTATCGTTGTCACTAGATCTGTTTTACCGTTACTTGAATTTACTATTATCGAAATGAAATTATATGATTTGATTAAAACTGAAATTCCCTATATTGTTTTAAAATATTTTCTACGAGTATATACGGATTACAGAGACAAGTATAATGGGAGTAGATATTGAAGATCCCGTAGCTAACAATAGGTTCGTTAGACCTGGTGCACCTTGTAATTACCGATTACTGTTATAGCCCTCGCTAGTGGGAAGGTAGAACTAGCATATCATTACCGATTTTCTTCGAGTAGGGACTATCGTTATATTTGACTTCTTGCGAAGAAGTCCGCAGTTATACTGATTACATGATCCGTTCATTGAAACCTCCCAAATGTGAATATTGATATTATACAGTGGTTACCGATCTTATTATTGAATTGTTAAATGCATTATACTACAAGAAAAATATGATGAGACTGAAAATTATTTATTATTTCTGAAAGGGCATTCTCATGTTATTTTTTGTTTGATATACTAGCATGTTTTCTGACTTGTCCCCATTAAAAATGGTTGTGGTTAAGTATTATTACTCACTGAGCTAGCGACTCATTCCCCGCTAATTGTTTTTTACAGAGACAGCAGTTGACGTGAGCTAGGAGTTTGTTCATTAGAGCGCACAGGTTGATAGTTCTTGGTGAGCCTCACACTTGTTCGCGTGGGCAGAGATTTTATTTATTGTTATGGTCTTTTATTTGAACGCTTAGAATTTTTCCATAGTCATTCTTTTAGCGTCATGAGCATCCTTTCATTATTATTGACTTATGATAAGTATTGCACTTTCTTATCGAAATTGGAGATAAATTAGTATTTCTGGTTGTTAGTGGGTTGATTAGTAATGGTGGAGACTTGTTTTGGTTAATTGATAAGTTATCGATTGTTGGTTTGATATTAGGATGGTTGGTTGTTGATTTTGAGATAGGAAAATTTTTGGATAGCCCAAAAACAGGGGAAACTCTATCCGTTTTTCTGTAAAATACCGATGAGGCTTACTTGGGGGCACTTGCTCCTAAGTGCCGTTCATGATCCTAAATTGGGTCGTGACATGTGTATTGTGATTTTCTCCTAGAAGGAATCAAGAGGAAGGATTCTAACTGACCGGGTATGTAATTTGCTGGTGACTCAGAGTGTTAATGAGGTTATTGTGTTTTCATGTAATGGCCTAATAGAGGCGGCGTGTGGAGGGAGACTGAGATTTGCATGTGCAAGTATATGGTTCAGTTTTGAAGGGATGGTCATGAATTCTTAGACAATATGGGCGGTTCCAAATGACTAGATGAATACTGTTACTACTTGGTATTTCATGAGAAGGGCATGCATTTCAGAAGGGGCATTGTGTTTTGATTTACGGATGTTCATCGGTATTGCAGTACGCATATGGTTGATAGACTGTTGATATTCAAATTATTTCTATGTAGCATGGAAGAATTATGGAAGTATTCCTCGTGGGATGATCGTGCATGAAAGATGTGTTAGTCATTCGAATGCTAGAAGTGGGATCGGTTATGGTGATTCATGTGTCCTATGAATTTGGAGACTGGAGTTCTCAGAAGCATATTGTTTCAGGGTTGTGACCTTTTTGAGGTGAGTATTTTATTTAAACTCAGTGGAGGCACTAGTTGCGCTAATTATTTGTGATAGTTGCGCGCTTTGAGTGTGCATATAGGTGAGGTTTGAGCCCATATGCGAGCTTCGGGGCAAGTATTTATACTCGGAAGAATGCTTAGGCTATGATATGCCTAGAGTTAACTGTTAAGCATAAAGTTATAACATTTCTCATGTTCGTACCTTTGTGGAGAACTATCTGGACTATACTTGAGGTTACAAAGAGGCTAATTCCGTGAGTAAACTTGGTAGCTACTATTTCTGTGTTAACTTTCCGATTTGAGTTGTGATAGCATACTTTGCACATGCTTACACTATGGCGTGTTATTTATACCATTCCAGGAGCATGCGAATCTTATTTCATCATCATATTCATGTGTACTTGTTTAATTGCTTCTGTATGATATGCTGGGACTGGAGGCCTGTGACCATGCCAGGCGATTTATATTATTGCCACGTGAGTTATCCGTGCAGATCTACATATTGGTATCATTGGCACGTGAGTTATCCGTGCAGTATGTGGGAATTTCATTTTTTGATAATCTATCTAATTTCATTGCTTTCCTTCCTCTACAATTATGCACATGTGCCTACGGTTGCCCTTTTCACGAAATTTGATGAGTTGGTTGTAAATATTAGGTTGTGGTGGTGCTAGCCGGACTTGTGAAACGATTCTCCTCTTTGAGATATTTTCCATTTTTTTAGGTGCACGGGTTGCACAACTTTTGGTTTGAGATATATTGGTGTGGCGTGTATGTGGAATAGTTGTGTTTGATAATATAAGGTTATCGAACCTAGAATGCGTACTATCAGATTTGATTATGGTATATTTGGGAGGATAAAATTGAAATTCGTCTTAGAAAGTGATTATGGTTCTGGTTGGGCGAGGGAGCTCCATGACTTGTTGATCTGACAAGGGGTTATAAGATTCCACGTGTTTCTTTTGTTATCAGTAGTGTACGAAGGTTTTAGAACGAGGTTTGGCTTGATATGGGATTTAATACTAGTATCGGGTTAGTTAGAGTAGTTATTGTGATCGGGAAAGGCGCTGCGAGTATGCAAGTTGTGTGATATATCATGTGATTACATCTTGAGTTATGGCTATGGCTTGATACAGTTTGTTCGGACTTATACAGTGTGTAAATATAATATTCGGGTCTTGAAAAAAATTATAAGTGTTGGAAATAGGGTGGCGTGAGATCACCCCCGGGTATGTGCATGGTAGGGTGGAACGGTGATATAAAGGCTTAGGGACAACTCTTGGCACGTTCGAGGACGAACGTATGTTTAAGTGAGGGAGAATGTAATGACCCGGCCGGTTGTTTTGAGTATTTAAACCTCGTTCCCCCATTTACTGCTCAATTTGTACTTTACAGTTGTTATATGACTTGTCAGGGTAATTGGTTCGGGTCCGGTGAGGTTTTGAAATAAATTGAGACACTTAGTCTCATAATTAAAAACTTAAGTTAAAAAAGTTGACTCGATGTTGACTTATGTGTAAACGACCCCGGAATAGAGTTTTGATGATGCCAATAGCTCCGTATCGTGATTTTGAACTTAGGAGCGTGTCCGGAAAATTATTTGGAAGTCCGAAGTGGAGTTACGCTTGAAATGGCGAAAGCTGAATTTTTGGGAAGTTTGACCGGGGGGTTGACTTTTTGATATCGGGGTCGGAATCCAATTCTGAAAATTTAAATAGGTCCGTTATGTCATTTATGACTTGTATGCAAAATTTAAGGTCAATCGAAAGTGATTTGATAGGTTCCGACATCGTTTGTAGGAATTGGAAGTTTCAAAGTTCATTAGGCTTGAATCTATGAGTGATTCGTGTTTTTAGCGTTGTTTGATATGAATTAAGACTTCAACTAAGTTCGTGTGATGTTTTGAGACTTGTTGGTGTATTTTGTTGAGGTCTCGGGGGCCTCGGGTGAGTTTCGGATGGTTAACAGATCAATTTTTAGACTTGGAGTGTTGCTGGAAATTTTCTCATATCTTTATCTAGTTTCCTTCTACGCGATCGCGTGAGAAGGTCTGCGATCACGTAGGGTTAATTGGGTCTGCTAAGTTTTTGTTCTATAAGATCGCGTGGGGAGAATCACGATCGCGTAGCTGGGAAGAGAGAATGCATCGTGAACGCGTGGACAAAGCCGTGTTCGCGAAGAGGAAATGAGGCACCAGGGGGTCACGAAAAGTTGCTCTTCGCGATCGCGTGGATCAGTCCGCGATCGCGTAGGTTTGTGCATCAATGATCCATGTTTGCTTGGATTCAACCACGTTCGGCAGTTTCTTTTATGCTTCGTGATCGCGTGAACTAATCCGTGATCGCATAGGGTCAATATTTGCCAGTGGAAATGTGTGCTTCGCGATAGCCGAACTTGGTCCGCGATCACATAGAAGAAATGACTGGGTGGAGAGTGTAAGTTCTGAAATTTTTACCGATTTGGAGCTCGAGAAGAGGAGATTTTTGGAAGATTTTCAAGGAAAACAACGGGGTAAGTGTTTTTAAATCAACATTGGTCAAATTACCCCAAACCATGGTTGTTTTCAACATCTAATTAGTGAATTAAGTTGGAAAATTATGAAAACTCTCTTGGTTTAATTTGAAGATTTGAGGGTCGAGTTGATGTCGGATTTGAGTAAAATTTGTATGGTTGGACTCGTGGTTGAATCGGCGTTCATATTTTATAACTTTTGTTGGGTTCCAAGACGTGAGCCCCATGTGCGATTTTTGAGTATAATTTCGGATTTTGAAGAAAAAATAGTATTTTGATATGGAATAAATTCCTATAATTTATGTTGACTGGATCAAATTAATTGTGACTAGATTTAAGCCATTCGGAAGTTGATACACACATAATGGAATTTCTGGAGCATTGTTTAGCTTGCTCGACATTGGATTCGGCTTGTTCAAGGTAAGTAACATCTCTAATCTTGGAGCTGAGGGTATAAACCATGATTATACGCGTTATGTGAATTGTTTGGAGGTGATGTACATGCTAGACGATGGGCGTGTGGGAGTGCACCGTGTGAATTGTAACTCTATTACTTCTGTGGTACTTTGTAATTACCTGATCTTATCTGTAGCTATGAAATCTCTACGTACTAGAGCTATTGAGCTGCGATCCATGTTAGAAACCATGTCTAGGCTACATGCTTATTCTGTTGAGACCCACTGGGGTCATTTCTGCTGTTGAGTTATCTACTTACATTGCATTTACATACTCAGTCATACGCATTCATATGCATATCATATCTCAGTCTCTGTTACCATTTACTGATACATCACATCATTATTTTTCGGCTGATTCTTTTCATGACACTGAGAGCCCGAGAGACTGGAGAGATTGATGACTGAGTGAGGCCGAAGGCCTGATGGTGAGGATATTTATGGGATCGGGTTGCACGCTGCAGCAGGCCATATTGTCTTTATATATATATTGATTTATGATGGGATCGGGCTGCACGCCACATCATGTTTTATTGATGTATGCCATGATTGGCTTATTATAGCGCTTGGGCTGAAGGATCCCCTCCGGAGTCTGTACACACCCCAGTGAGTGCAGGTACCTACTGAGTGCGAGTGTCGAGTGTCGAGCTATTGGGAGGATTGAGTGACTATGAGGATTGAGTGACTGGGAGGACTGAGTGAGTGTGAGGACTGAGTAAATTGATACTCTGAGAGTATGCATATAGTTTTATCACTGAGATACATTGCATTGACATGCACACATGGCATACAAGCATAGAGATGTATTTTTCTCATGTTGTACGGTATCACGTCATTCATGACTTCTTACACATATTGGCATATGGGCATAGTGATGCATTTCCCACTAGCTATCTGGAAAGGAAATGAAACAACTTATTTATTGTTGAAAGGATTTTTGGGAAAATTACTATTTTCAAACTTGCTCATAGTTTTGGCAACTTCGGTCAACGACTTGAGTTTTCACTGATACACTTGAAAGGCAGAACTATTTTCAGAAATCATGATTAAGCTGAGCATTTTATCTGCGAGTTACTTCTTTTATTACTTGCTTTACGTTGTTATGGACTGTTGTTGTCTATTGGTGTTGGACCCGACCTTTGTTCCAGCTCGTCACTACTTTCAACCTAAGGTTAGGTTTGATACTTATTGAGTACATGGGGTCGGTTGTAATCATACTACACTTCTACACCTTGTATGTAAATATTGGATGCTGATATTTTTGTGATCAACGAGAGCTGGATTTGAAGACGTACTTTCGTTCTGGTTGTAGCTGTCTCTTGTTCACGATAGCCTTAGATTTATAAAAATCTGTTTATGTACATTTCAAACAGATGATGTATTTATTTCATACCAGCTTTGTAATTTCTAATTTTAGAAGCTCATGATTTGTACTACCAGTCCTTGGGGAGTGAATTTGAGTCAGTTAAATATTTATTTAATCGGATTATTTTTATTCGGCTTACCTAGCGGGTGAGGTTAGGTGCCATCATGGCTAGTTGAATTTTGAGTCGTGACAAAGATGAATGAGTACTTACCACTCCACCATAATCCTTGTTGGATACAATGCAAGTACTCAACACAAGTAAACAACTTATGATTCTTTAGTTGACGTGCAACAAGATGGCTTAGAAGTCTAAAGTCAATCCTATTTAAACACGACTTGAGATCTTCTAAGAGTCCTATTCAAAGTCACCTTCCTCTTTGATAGGACTCCTACTGTTCCAAGGATTCCACACGCTATGGGACTTTAGTCTCTAACTTAATTATCCATATCGTTTTGAGCAATGACCTTTATCACTCATTGTAGCTATCGTCCACCATACTTGGACCTGGTAACTTTGAGATAAAGTTATTGTCTTGTACAGACGTACAAGTATCACTCAGGAGGAGCTGATTCTTTCTCCTGAGGAGCAAGTTCTTCATAACAGTTAAGCAGCTATGTTGAGGACCTAGTTCTTTGAACATATAGTCATACTTTGTTAATCATAAAAACTTCAATATTCAACAAATTCCCCATTTTTGATGATGAAAAACTTTGTGTACAGCAGAACCAGATAATCACCTCAAAGAACCAGATAATCACAACAAGCACTATTGACAGACATGTGTGTTCACAACAACTTCCAACCTTATCTTCCTCTTTTTGGCATCATCGAAAACACACAAAAAAATGTTAGACACTAAGTATAGACAATGTAAGATTCAAGGCCAAACATGTGACATCACAAGCATAAGAAAGGGAAAATAAACTAGGCTGATGATTCAATAGAGTACAAAGCAGTAAAGTAGAGTAATAGGAGACGTTAAGTAGTCCCAAAAGAAGCCAGGGTCTTGTCTTCATCATTAGAACAAAATAAACTAAGCATACTGCCAACTACTCAAACTAAGATAAAAGGAACAAAAGATAAGGCATTACTAGAATAGCAAAAGAACTAAGGACGCTGGGAAGGAACAGGTTCAAGGGTAAGAAGCAGAGGGGGTCAAAGCTTTCACAAAGGTAGAAATTTTTTGAGCGTGGGCCTCCCTGTCTCTTCTGAGATCTTCCTTGAGTTGCTTTGTTTCCTTTATCAACTCATTATTGTCTTCACGAAGCTTGGCATTCTCTTCAACAACCAGCTCCAACCTCTTGCTGAGTTATGCAGCCCTACTGCTCCCAGGAAGAATGGAAGATCTTGTGGGTCCTCTAGACTTGATATCCTCATAGCCACATTGCTTGAGGGTAAAATCATCCAAAACATCATTGTAGTTTCCAAACTTAAGCTCAAGTAAGTCAATGTTGAGTTTGTCAAATAACTCAGTCAACATGAAATCATATGGCATAGCATGCTTTGGTTTAGAAGTATCTGCAGCTCTTGCCATGTGTTGAATCATCAGGCTAGGAAAATTGATAGGTCAACCAGTGTCAAGAAGTTCCATCACATCCATGTCTAGTAGAGTAGCTTCATGCCTTCGCTCAGACCTCTGAAGAATGCAGGAGTTGACAAACTGAAATAGTAGCTTGTGAAGGGGAGTCATATCAGTTTTGTACACTTTCTGGGGAGCATCTAGTTCAATCTTTTGGGAGAACTTCCTGGTGACCACAATGCCAGTGTCAACATCATTGTCTATGGCTGGCCACTTCTTCTTCAAGTATTTGTCAAATCCTAAAGAAGGGATATTCAGAAGCAGCCCCAGCTCCTCAGTATTAAACTCCATGACAAAGCCCCCTACCTTACTTTTGACTACCTTCCCATCAAATGTAAAATTTGTATAGAACTCCACCACAGTAGGAACACATACTGGGGGGGGGAGGGGGGGAAGCTTTGACAAACATATGCTTCCACCCTTATAGCTCAAGTTTCTTAACCAGTTGTGTCATCCTCTTCTCATTAGTGTTCGCAAGAATCTTCCCATTTAGGACTTTTCTGTTCCTGAACTCTATGAGTCGATCAACTACAACTGACACATTCTTTCTTGTCTTACCCCTACTGGCCTTTGTAGAAGAGGTAGCGGGTTTGATGACTTTGGCTCCCTTTTTCTTTGGTGTAGCATACTTTGCTGGCAAAGCAGAGTCAGATTCATCTTCTCCATCCACCTCAACAACAAGTTCCATAATTGAAACCTTATTCTTTGGCCTTTTTGCACTTCTGGACTCCTTCATGATTTGTGCATCAACATCCTTTCTTTTACTCCTTGTGAGGGGAGTTCTAACAGGAGGAACCACCCATTTCCTTGTTAAGACTGCTGACTTTATAGATTTCACAATGGTCTTCCTGGACTTCTTCCCTATCTTAGATAGTGGCATATTATCTTCATCACTGCTAACTTCTTCATCTCCAGTGAAAGGAGTTAACAGAGACCCAGGTTCTTGAGCTCTTGTCACTTCACCAATTTCTTCTAAAGAGGCTATGACGGTGTTTCCAATTTTCATGGAACCTGCAGATTCCTCACTCACATTCCCCTATTCTTCCTCACTCTCGTCATCACCTCCTTCACTCTCACTTACCTTTTCTTGATCCTCACCCTCACTTTCAGAAACCTCCTCTTCTTCACTCTGATTTCTTCTTCTGCAGAATCATTAGCATGTTCACCTGTCTTATCCTCTATATCACTCTCCTTCTCTGTCCATATACTCCCTCATTCTCACTCTTTTCTTCTTCATTGGCTATGGTTTGAACATCATGTTCCTCATGACGTTTCACAACTTATTCTTATTTTTCACCTTCATCATCTTTCTCATACTCAGTCCAACAAAAATTAAGGCCATCAGAAGCCTCCTTTTGCACCGATTCTTTACCTCATTCCCCCTCGACCACAGTCTCCATAGCTGTTGGATCTATCTCCTTTCCCACATCCCCTGCACCTTTTTCTACAGGGAATTTCTCCACTGGTGGCTTCTCACTCATGGATGGGAGAGTATCTAGGGGTGTAACATCTATAGCAGACACCTGAACATCTAACTTGATGAGGTACCTAATCAGTAGTGACTGACACTGATTCCCCCTAAATCACAGATCCCTTAGCTATAGTGTCACCCTTGCGTAGCAGCCTCAAGCAATTTTTTAACATATTTTCTTGGAGTTTCTTTGACCTTTATTGACTTAAAGGTATTTTTTGCAGGAAGCTCACGTGCATGGGTAGTTATTTTTGAAGGAGGGGGTACAGTGGAGGTGGGAATGATAGGAACAACATGAATAGTAGGAACAAGAGAGGATGAGGTATGTATAGTGGAGGATATCGAATGAGAAGGAGCAGGTGTAGGTGTGGGTTCTCTTGAAGGCTTGGCATTTTTCTTTGATTTGGGCTTCAAGATTTTGGGTTGTGCTTCAGCCTTGGTTGATGATTTAGCTTTAGAGGGTGTTTGACTGGATTTAGGCATGGTGATTAGATGAGAGACTCGAAGAAGAGAAAGAAAGGGTTAGTTCTTGATAATTACTTTCGATTCTTGCTTAGGGTTTGAGAGAAACAATGAGGTTAGAGAGGGAGAGGCTGATCATAAGGGTCGTTTAAAGGCGTTACTCCTGATGCGACTGGAAGAAAGAAGGTGACTGAATTCGAGTTCTAACATGACTCTTATAATGGTTACTTTGACTGCAAGGTTTTCAGGAGTAATTGATCTCTAATTGTACAAGGATTCCCCATTACTCTTTGACTAGAAGACAAATAGAAGTGATGCCAACAGAATTAAAAGTCTGAGTATAGCAGTAATTTTAGAATATTAAGTCCTAGTGACTTAAGACAGTATGGCACATACATGAGTCAAAGAACCAACTCCTTAGCAACTCCTTATTCATTTATGCAATAAGGCTTTAACACTTCATATTATTATCATGCAACACAGTTATCAACCAGATTATCTAAGCAAGTGTGTGAGCTTAATACAAGCACAAAGCTGAATCAAACACATTGTACTTAATTATCTACATCTTAGTATGCCTTTTCTAACCAATCACTGGGAGTCAACTTAGTGGGAGGAGTTGATTAGACCTAGTTCTAGTCTATTCCTTTCAAAGTGATCTCTACTCAGAGCTTTAGTAAAAATATCAGAAATATGATCTTCCGTTTTACAAAAGTTAATTGAGATATTCCCCTTTTCAACATTGTCTCTCAGAAAATGATGTCTAATGTCAATGTTCTTGGTTATCTTGTGCTGACATAGATCTTTAGCAATGTTTATGGCACTGGTGTTATCACAGAAAATAGGAACACTATCAACAAATATACCATAGTCCCTTAGTTGTTGTCTTATTCATAGTAACTGACCACAACAGGATGTTGCTGCCGCATATTCAGCCTCAGTTGTAGATAAGGCCACTGAGTTTTGCTTCTTGGTTCCCCAAGACACCAGATAAGAACCTAGAAAGTGAGCTGTTCCTGAAGTGTTTTTCCTGTCAACATGAAAACCTGCATAGTCAACATCAGCATAACCAACTAGATCAAAGTTGTACCGTCTGGGATACCATAGAAAGAGGTCAGGGGTCCCCTTGAGATATCTTAGTATCCTTTTGACAGCTTTCAGGTGAGATTCCTTGGGATTTGTCTAAAATCTTGCACATAATCCCACACTAAACACTATATCATGGCTGATTGTTATGAGGTACAACAGTGACCCAATCATTCCTCTATATAGTTTATGTTCCACACTTTTCCCTTCTTCATCAAGGTCTAGCTTTGTTGCAATGGTAATGGGGGTATCAATCGAACTTAGAGGAGTCCATGTTGAACTTCTTCAGTAACTCTTTAATATATTTCTACTGATGTATCATGGTTTCAGTAGGTGTTTGCTTGATTTGCAGGACCAGAAAGAAGTTCATTTCACCCATCATGCTCATTTCGAACTCATTTCCCATCATCTCAGCAAATTCCTTGCACATTGCTTCATTGGTGGCCCCAAAGATAATGTCATCCACATACACTTGCACAATCAGAATATTCTTCCCTCTGCTCCTTAAAATTAGAGTGTTGTCCACCTTTCCTCTTACAAAATTATTGGCTAAGAGGAATTTTGAGAGTCTTTCATAATAAGCTCTTGGAGCATGTTTCAGTCCATAAAGAGCTTTATCTAATTTGAACACATAGTCAGGGAATTATTCAGTTTCAAATCCAGGAGGTTGTTTGACAAACACTTTCTCCTTCAAGTAACCATTCAAAAAGGCACTATTTACATTCATCTGGTATAAAGTGAATTCCATGTGGGCAACAAAGGCTATCAACATTCTTATAGCCTTTATTCTAGTTGCAGATGCAAATGTCTCATCATAATTAATGCCCTCCTCTTAATTGTATCCTTGAACCACCAATCTGGCTTTGTTCCTTATGATATTTTCTTGTTCATCCAACTTGTTTCTGAACACCCATCTGGTACATATGACAGTTTTGTTCTTGGGTTTCTACACCAGGTGCCAAACCTTGCTTCTCTCAAACTGATTTAGCTCCTCTTGCATGGCTATGAT